AAAGGGTTGAGCCTACACCATTCATTATAGGAGAAATGGTGTACTTATCTACAAAATACCTAAAGTCCCTACAGCCCTGTAAAAAACTTGGACCAAAATATATAGGACCTTTTCCAATTAAAAGGATCATAAATCCAGTAACAGTAGAATTAGAATTACCCAAAAACCTCAGGCAAATACACCCAATTTTTCATTGCAGCTTGCTGAAAAGAGAGCATCAGTCACCTCTACGGCCAAAAATCCCCCCCCCACCACCTCCAATCATGGTGGAGGGGGAACAACACTTCGAAATAAAAGAGATCCTTGACTCTAGGAGATATCGTGGAACAACTCAGTACCTAGTTGCCTGGAAACACCTCCCTGCCTCACAAAATGAGTGGGTCCATAAACGTCACGTCAGAGCCCCGAAGCTATTGAAGAAGTTTCACACAGAGTATCCTAACAAGCCTAACTAAATTTTTTACTTGTGTTTTCTTTCAGGTGGATCTCTCTTATTGTTAAGAGGGGCCGGATGTCAGAATCCAATTATATTTCATCTTTAATTATCAAACATAGAAACTCCCAATTCTGCCTTCTCTGGATTCTGCCATAAGAGGGAGAAAAGGGGGAGAGCAAAGGGGCTTTATGGCCCTCACTTCCTTCAGCACACTTCAAAGGACTGAATGTGTGTTTATTGTGGCCTCTAAGCTTTAACATATCAAAGAAGAGTAATTGCCTTTCATGTAGTTATCTGAAGTCTCCATCCAGACGGAAGAAGAAAGGGGATGGAATTGTGATACTTGAAACTATCACTGGAAGGGGGGTTGATTGGGTGGGACTACTGGGGAACCCCTTAAAACCTTGAATGGGAGAGCTTGAACCCCAAGTCCTGTCTAGCATGCCTGCAACCATTTTCTCTTAATAAAGGATTCCTGTTGGAAGAATTATTCCAAGAGTTCTGTCTTCTTAAGATGCAAAGTGGGGTGGGTCCTCACACACAGATTAGTTTCTTAATCCTTTCTCTCTCCTATTGCTATACACACAGTATGTGTATAAAATTGTCTGCTTTAATGTTTTTTTTAAAAAACCTTACACTTCTGTGATGAAAATAGCATTAACACCTCTAATAAGGCTATATGCAAATTTCCCCCAAAATACCATCACATACAAATGGTAAATACAGTGACTGAAGTTAGAAAAATTAATGTTTTAGTTCAGTGTGGCTACTCAAATTAAAACAATTTCATTCTACTTTCTGTAGTGCACCAAAGTAGGTAACACTGAAAGTTAGATCAAAAGATAATTGCCATTAAAGGTTTTTGGCTATTCATACTGCGGGTGACAAACATATCATAGACCATTATAAGCTACCTCCAGATGTGGTATCAGCAGCCTTTAAATATCTATAGTTACTATAAATAAATAAACTAGAATTGCTTACCAGCAGTCTTAAGTAACTAATGTGTCTACTACTGGCTTAAAACAGTAGTAATGGTGAAAATGTCAGGGAGAAAAATCAAACAAATGTAATCTTTAGATTCCCAAAAAGGTGTCCCAACATCAGTCTTTGCCCTTTCATGTTCTTCCTCCTTCTCCTGGTTCTCTAGCATTGATTCCTTATTACCTATGAGCCCATGACAAGTCAAATTTTTAATCTATTTTGGATGTCAGGATTGCTTTCAATTATCCACATGCCACAATTATTTGCAGCATACTCTGGCAATTGCCACAGTTTTTTGGGGAATGATAAGTGTATTCCCCAAGTGTTCAGTCGGTGACATTTGGCAGTAACTGGCTGATTTGTTTCCCAGCAACAAAACTGAGCTTCAGCATTGTCAGTGACTGAGGAAAACTGTATGGAGCTAAATAAGCAAGTCCACAGTTCATGCTTATCTCTCTTTCAAAAAGGATCTTTGCTAAATACTTTCAAAAAAAGAAAAAAGAAAGCTAAATTAAATACACCACTAGACCTCCTGGAACATTACACAAAATGTGTTTTCTATTACTCAGCAACTTAAGGACTCAATTCTCATGATTTTTCAGCTTTACTGTTAAACAAGTTTGTAAAATAAAATGCTTGTTGAGTCAGCACACTATTCTCACCAACTTAATGTGCTTTTCCTCCCTGTTGCTGGGCCCCAGACCAAAACAGATGTCAGCCCAGATATACTGGAAGTAAAGAAGATAATAGCACTGTCAGGAACTGTTATGCTTCTTATCGATTTTTACAATATTGGACTAAAGATGTTGGTTGAGCAATTTTTTTTCAGGGCTGCCTTGTCCTGAAGGAGGTCCCTGTCCTTCTTAGGTATTGGAGAGGCCTTGCCCACACCAAAAATAGCATGCCCACAATTTGATGGTATATTTGGAAATCAAAGCACTGCCATATTAGCAAAATATATGTACATCTAGTATGACTTTATCATTTCATAAACAATCTGATTTTTGACTAGTACTGACTTTTAAAAATACATTGCATGATTTATATGACTTATAATTATACATAAGAGAATGAAAAAACTCATAAAGTTGAAAACAGAAGTTTTCCATAGAGTAGCCAAGAAAATGGAGTCCTTCCAACTTTATAAATGAACTATGTAAAGCTCTCATAGGGTAAGACATGATAAATTTTGTTGAATTGAGAAAGTGTTTGTTAGTCAAGAATTAGAGGCATGAATATGACATTACCCATCTCAGTCTAGAATTGAGACAAACAAACACATATTCTGATTAATAGAGAAACTGAATCTGTTGTTAGCAATCTCCTTTTTCCCCAGAACCATTTTCTATAGTAAACAGTTAAAATTGAATTAGTTTTTTTTTTAAATATCAAAGCATTACAGTGTTCAATTGTTATAACATTAATACTTCTATGTGATAAACTGAGTTTCAGTTGATATCTCTCTCACAATGTCTCATATAGACATTACGTATGAGAATATGACATTTTAGTGGTAATAAAACAATTGTTTGTTTTTCCTTCTACCTTCCTCAACAGCTGTCCCAAATGCTCTGTAACTAACACTTCCGAGCCACAAGAAATCCGGTGCTGCCAGGAACAAGATTATCATGAAATAGTATCCTAAAGTAGACTTAACACATTTTAACATCAGACAAAGGAATATCTCTCATAACTAGCTCCCAATAAAATCCTGGCCCTGTCTACCAGATCTGTCCTATGTACACCAAAAATAGCATGATGGGTGGCCTTAGGACGTCAAAATATTGTTCACAACAAAATGAAATTAACAAATGCCCTTTGGAATTAGACTTCTCCAAAATCCAGATGGCCCCCACTCTACTGTTGCTTAGAAGGGCCATGAAGATCTGACTCATCACTCAGGCTTTGGTGATGTTGAGTGAAACACCATGGTTTATTTATACACAGTCTATCATTCTTACTATGTTTTCTCATTTCCCCCCATCTTTGTTATTGGTTTTATTGCTATTTCTTTGAGTTATTGGGAATTGGACAGCATACAAATTTAATATAAATAAATACATAAATAATTCAAAGGTTTGAATTACTTTCATAAGGCTATTTTAATCATGAAAATATTTATTACTTTTATTTATTTGTTAAATTTCGATGCCTTCTATCTCACTAATGATGATAGGAAAATATCAACACTATAGGTACCTTTAGATACCAGTTCATTGACAATGCTTACTGTTTATTTAACTCCTGATGGATCAATTCAATTCATTTCTGATTATATATTAAGCCAAAATGCAATGCAAAAACAGATGTAATTGTCTAATAATGGTTTGAATTTGAAATTATTTTAATATTGTTGATATTCTGTTGCTAGAACTAAAAGCAAACAACAAAAAAAACAACCTCAGGACACTTCAACATTACATTATTTTTAAGGCTGGGAATAAATTATGGAAATCTTTGCAGTCATTTTTTCATAAATAAACATTTAATTTGCCTGCTTATTTAATAGTTTTAAGTTCTATAATATAAAATGTGATTATGAGTTCTTTGTTTGTGACCAGTTTATTCCTTTACTGGCTTAGTAAAACATCTCTTTTCATACTGCGTAAATTATCCCCAGATATATAATGCTATTTGCATGATGGAAATAGAGGGAACATGCCCTTTTTTACTTGGTCTACAATATACATGATATAAGTAAACAAGGAAAAATTTTCAGTGAAACTGGAGAATGAGATATAATATTGATAATATATACCCTCTCCCAATGTATTATTATTGCTTCTCTTAATTGTTTCTTCTATCTCGCTAAAGCCAGCCATAGGTATTCCTTTGATGTGGTGATGATGGTTCTTGGTATCTATTTCTGATCAAAAATATGTTCTCCATCTCCATCTTGGTATATTTATTTGACAAATATTGCTTGAGGAAGAAAGATATTTGAAGGAGGAGAAGGTGCTTATTTTGAGGTCTCACCCAAACAGAACACTCCCCCATCCAATCAGAGCACAGCCAACCCCCCATCCAATCAGAGCACAGCCAAGCTCCTAACCAATCAGAACACACCTCCATCCAATCAGAACACAGCCAAGCTCTCATCCAATCAGTTCATACCCCCACTGGCAGTTAAAAGGAAGAAACAGTCACACATTGCTCCTAGAAGCACGAAGCCGAAAACACCAGCCTGAAGATGACGAATGAGACTTCGTCAAAACGTCGCCAAGACACTTCCAATTTTACACGGGAGAAAACCCGAATAACCAAAGATAGATAGATAGATAGATAGATAGATAGATAGATAGATAGATAGATAGATAGATAGATAGATATACAGCACGATTTTCAGACAGATGTCTGATTGATTACACCTTGACATTTTTTAACTAGGGGCGCTAAGCAGGCTCAAGTCGCAACTGCAAAACATTACAAATCCAAATTTCTTTTTCTGACAAAGAGTTAAAGAATTAAATTGGGAGACTAAGATGGCCATTTCGAGCAGAATGATTGATACAATATTAATACAATTGATAATATTAAAATTAATAACATAAAATTATCTCTTATTTGTAAGAAAACTTACCCATGAACTTGGGAGATCCACATCTGTGACAGAGCTTGTAAGTTGTGACTGATGTGAACAACAGGTACATTTTCCCCACTCTTCAATCCTTGTGGTGAAGAAATCACAGGGACCCAGCTGAGAATCTGAGAAAATTTTCCAGTCACTCCAGAGCTGAAATTCCATTTCAGAACAGGTGTCATTATTTTCTAGATTGTTAATTCCAGAAAGGTAAGTTGTATCCAGCAATGCTGAGATAAGATCTGTTCTAGGCTGAAATTCTGCCTTTAATCTTGTACTCTCTTTCAATATTTTTTTGTCTTGATATTTTGTTAATTTCATACATGAAATTGGAACTTCAGCTTCAGCTTCAGAGAACCCAGGATCTTGTGGTGATATATCTTGAAAAGAATGCATTTAAAAAAAATAATGCTTGGTTTATTTATTTATTTTTACATACTTATTTAATATATTTATCTTCTGCAAGAACAGATACATTTTAAAAGTAATAAACTAAAAAAACACAAAGAATAATATAATAAAAATCTGGTCATTTCAGAGAACATCTAAACCACATCATTAACTGATTGATAATAGTTATATCTTGCCTATTTTCAAATGTTACCAAGATTATATATAATAAGTTAGATAAAAACATAAATATGAATTATACATTTTTTAAAAAAATCAATGTACCATGTTAAACAATAAAATATAATTAACTATTAGAGATACAAATAGACAAGTTGAAAGGGTTCAATCAGAAGAATAACTAAATGATTTCAGCTAGCATATCTAGCTTACATAATAAATCTTTACATGGATGACTGAGAGTCATGAAAGTGAAAAGATAAGTCAGTTCCCCCGAAATAAATTGAAAATATCAGTGCAGGTATTTTCTACAACAAATGTCACACATTGTTCTGTTGAAAAACTTGTTGTCTGCATGCATAATACTTTGAGTTTACTTGGAACTACTCTACACAGTGTTTTAAAGTTTTAATTGATGTTTGGTGGTTGATTGCAATTACTCCCAGAATCTTTTGTTGTTATGTTATGGTTTCGATTTTCTGATTAAATTCAGTATTTTAATCAGGGTTATGGAGAGGGAGTGGCATACAGCTCAGAATCAGTTTCGACTGGACCAACCTATACTTCCTGTAAAATAAATAATATATTTATTTCTCAGCTATAATTTATTTGCATGGTATACCTAGTTTGTAAATCTGGGATGGGAATGCTTGCATGTTGTTGCTGGTAGTTTTTTAAAAACTTATGTCTATTTGCAGAGAGAAAGACTTTTGGATGCATTTTCTTTATTTTTCTGCTTTTAACAAAAATGCAAAAATCTTATTGGTTGCTTAACATTTTATTTGAACTGTGTCCATGGGTTGCTCGCTATATTCTAAATTTGTGTTGAATATTGAAATGGATTTTATGAATACATTTAATTTCTTATAGATTGAAATGAAATCATTTTACTTACTGGATGATAATATATGCTTCATGTCATCCAAACTATGTATACTGTCTTTCTTATTTCGAACTAACTTCTGCAACCGTTTCAAGGTTCCCATTGTTTCAGCTTGATTTTCATCCGAATCTGTAACCTAAAGAAATAAATGCATATCTGAGTAGCATTAGCAATAGCAGCAGCACTTAGACTTATATACCATTTCATAGTGCTTTACAGCCCTCTCTAAGCAGTTTACAGTGTCAGCACATTACCTTGAACAAGGAGATTGAGGGGAAAAGGAAGGAAGGAAGGAAGGAAGGAAGGAAGGAAGGAAGGAAGGAAGGAAGGAAGGAAGGAAGGAAAGAAGGAAGGAAGGAAGGAGAGATTGAAGGGGAAGGGAAGGAGATGGTTGGATGGAAGGAAGGAAGGAAGGATTGATTGATCTTTGGAGTGTCATGTTTTTCCAGATGGTGATGAACTGCAACTCCCAGCATTCCCCACTCTTGCCCTCTCCCAGCCACCCCCAGAACCTGCCCACCCCTCCAGCCTCCTGAGCGCCATTGCAGCGGCGAGGTCACCGCAGCCCCTTTCCATGCTGTGCAGCCCTTCACCGCCACGACCTTTCCCCAACTTGTTGCACACGAGAGGGGCATGGCTGGGTCATGCTTCTCCTCTCCTGACCAGGCCGGCTGGCCTCCGATACACATGCGGGCATCACCGCCATCTGGCCTCTTCCGAGGTCCGGAGCCCGGTGAGCCGGGAAGGAGCTGCTCCTGCCCGCCAGTCCCAGGGCCTCGCTGGGTGCCAGAGGGCCAAGGCAGCCTCCAACAATGAGGGAGGTGGGCTGGGTGGCGCAGGGAGGGTTGCGACCCACAGGTTGAGAACCGCTGATTTAATGGCACCCCAGTTTATAGGCTGAAAAACCTGAAATCCATATAAAATAAAAGATCTCACTAAATAAAATTAATAAAGCTTGCCACATATTGGCAATCACCATCCACAAGCCAATGCTGTCCCAACCTGACCCATTTGCTTTCCCGTCTCATTCTGAAGTCCATTTCCAGTCTGATCATCTTCCAAATTGCACTTGGCATGTTGCCTTGCAGCCTGTGATTCCAATTAGGAAAGCAAGCAGCACTGTAGCCAAATGTGATAAAAAAGGTTGATTCTAATGCCGCCTGGCTTGTTTGTTGTCCTGCCTCCTTACTCCTTACTGCCTGTAAATAGATGACTGCTTTGTCCAAAAACTCATTTCTAAGTTTATTTTCAAAATCTTACTAAAAACCAACATATGGACTCAATGTAATCAGGAAAATCTGCCATAATCTTGATTTATGGCTAGCAGTCTGGAGCTTTTCAAAATAATTCAGAAAAGGTGCTTCAGAAATCATGTCTGCACAGCAGCCTTCCGTTCATCATTGTAGCCCATAAAACCTTACTTTATGCAAATGTATTCCTTAAAGCAATGACATTTTTTCAGGCTTACAAAAAAATCTGAAAAAAAAAGTTGGGCTATTAATAGGAGACAGGCAGATCCAAAATCCTGATTGCATCATCACCACCTCTGCCAATGAGGTGCTGTAGATACAGCAAGACATATATCTGGCAAAGAGGGAAAATATTCTTTTAAAATTGGAATTTTAAAAAGGCCATAGATTTGTGAGTTTCATTTCACATCCAAATCTTGACTGCACATCAGTCACAATAACCCCATTATTAAATACAGTATTGTTTCAAATTGCAGAAAATTAACTGTATTTCTCAAAGATAGAAAAAAATCTTAATTTGATATAACCTAATTAAGACAAAGGACTTACATGGCATGCTGTTTCTTCTTTCCTTGATTCTTGTAGTAGGTAAGACTTTTGTTCTATAAGAAAATCTTCATTTTTTTCTGTCCAGGAAGGATGAAAATTACAAAAGGTTATTATGAGAAATGTATTCTTATCTATTAAATATTTGATATTTTCTATTTAAATATTCATTTTATAAAACTGTTAATAAAGAAAAACTGAAACAATAAACAAAAGATGTAATGGAGAAGATTTTATTAAGTGGCTTTAGTCTAATTTCCTGCTTCGCCTTGAATTATTATGTTCATATAATCTATTTTTGCAAGTATAGCTTATTTTTTTGTGATTTGCTGTCAGCACTTAAAATACCGTGATGATAATATATTCTAAGTGTATCAGTTGCCTGTACCTGCTATGTGGGTGAGATGAGGCAATAGAATGTTGATGTGTAAGGTAGTTTTAGATTTAAAAACTGCATAGAATAGCCAAATGCTTTGGTTAAACTTGACTTTACAAGCCAAAATGCATCCAAACTGTGCTTTAGCATAGTAAGGAATGCTGCAGGTTCTGTTGCTATGAGTTGGTTGGTTAACTGCACCTTCTCTGTCTTACTAAAAAAACATATTAAAGTATCAATTGACTAAAGTCATGAGCACAACATAGGGAAAATTGTGACTTGGAGTATGAAGGGAGTAAATACAACAATCATACATTAATGAATGAAATTAAAGAAAATAAATACAAAGGTATAGTAAATTGTATACTATATTTAACTTTATTTCCTTTTATCCTCTGCCTTTACTTTTGCTCAGTAGTGTACATTCCTTGAGTATAATACACTTTTGATATGAGAAATATTTCAGTCTATTTCTGGAGATTGTCATCTGTGTGATTTTAATGATATTTTAAAGCAAGTTCTTGATTCTGTTGGGATTTAAGTAATCCAGTTTTTTTTTTCTTAAAATAATGCCTTTACTAAGCACTGATAGAATTGGCTGATTTAAATCCTGCAAAAGCTGCACAAGCCATGGCCTCAATGGGACCACCAGCATTGGTTTGCAGCCTCAAAAATCTGTGTATTGAAGTTTCATGACAACACATCCAGTTTTAAACATATTTATTATTTCAGAATTAAGGATGGAACAGGAAGATTGAGACCTAGCCACTAGGAGGCAAACTGCTTCCACTGTCATTTTTTAATGCTTCAAAAACTATGTCATGTTATCATACATATTGTTCTGGACAGAAAATCAGTATCATGATTTGGATTATTCTTTATATTTGAGGAGATTTTGCAAAATGGGAATTTCAACTCTTGAAATCTCCCAACTTGTGCAAAATCCTCCCCTTTGTGACATTGTCACAGTCTCCTGCAGCCATCCAGAAGACTGGAAGGCAGAATTGCACTCATAACCCTCAATTGTCAACCCTGTTCTAAACACTTTTGCTTATTAGCAAAACATATCAGGTGTGTTATTACAGTTATCTCATCAATGTCATTTTGAATTGCAGCAGTGCAGCTCACAAAACAATGGTGTTTACATCAATGTACACAATATTGCATATGCCACTACATTCTGAATCAGCTGAAGTTTTTGAATGTTCTGTGTTGCAATAGCTCTATCAGAGGTGACTAGGGTATGAATGATAATGAGCAGTGACTCCTGATCTAGGAACAGACACAACTGGTGCACAAGATATATTTGTGCGAAGACTTTTCTAGGCATAGCTACCCATTTCTCTCAAGTAGGAGCTTTAAATCCAGAAGGGAGTGTTGGGGAGTGTTACCAAACCCAGAATGAATGACAGAAGTTTACTAGATACAAACGACCATAAAACCCACACTCATTCTTATTAGGGTTGAATTGAAACTTCTTCCTATCCATTCAGATCTGCACGGCTTCCTGACACTGAGATAGTATCTCAGGAACATCATTTGTATGATCATCAGATATCACATGATAGGTGACTTTCTGCTGACAAATTATCCTACCTAGTGATTTCATGTAGAAGTTAAATAGGGCAGGGAAAGAGTTGAGCCCAGCATCCTCTCAAAAGCAGAAGCTTAGAACTGGACCTTTCTACCATTATCAATGCCAAGCAGAACTGTCCTCAGAAGAATAACCATACTGATACCATGATTGGTAGCCTTTGAGAGATCAAAGAATGCCAGAATGAAATGATCCCACAAGAGGTCACCTACAAATGTAATTAAAACCGTCTCATTATTATAAGCAACCCTAAAGCCCACATAATCTGCTTCCTTCAGATTTCTTTTGGAGTGCTTGGCAGGTCAGACTTCTCTATCAGCTATATAATCATAGATAAGGGAACTGTTATGACAGAACTATTTTACATCAATTATGAATAAACTAGATTAGAGTTTATTAGATTTTAATGATCAGATTCTAGTGTCCAATGAGATCAAGCATTAATTCTTGTATCAGTTGAATTTGGAAAAGGGAGCAAGGAAAATAGCGAAACTAAGGAAGTGATCTTAAAAAGACCACTTGATAATATACTGCAAATCCAAAGAGTGCAGAAGATTATTACCACTTCACTACTTCACTACTTTTACAGCCATTATTTAGATCTACATTTAATCTACATTCATACTCATGTTTGGTCACATTCGTGACTACTTTTTTCATGAAAGGGGTTTTTTTGGGCAATAAATATATACTGTAGATGTCATGCAATATGAGCATTTATTTCTCCCCCACAATAAAATGGGTAATTAAAACCCAAAATATAAGATATTACACTAATATGCATAATTCTACATTCTCCCCAGAAGCAAATTAACTGAGTGTAACCTGTTCCTTTACCGTTATGTTAATATACATTTGCCTTTTGAGAAGAGAAACTTTACAACATTTTGATGGCATTCAGATGCAGCTTAGTTATGAATAATTCTGCAAATTTGCAAATCATTTCTTATAGAGCAAAACTTGGTAGCGAATGCAGAATGATAGCTCAGCATGACCCAGTAGCTTTTTAGAGAGTTCTTCCCCATAATTAGGTTATGCTAGGCAGTTCTAGAACTTTGTTATCCATGAAATACTTCCCTAGCAAATAAAGGACGCTGCTGTTTATCCAGCAGACAAATTAGCTGCAGCAAAAGGAACCAAATGTTGTATGATATGATAACTTTATATTTATGGTTTATACACAATACTGTGTCATGAAATATGCCAATTTTGTGCAGAAAAATTTATAACTGTACTATTAGAAAGGACATTTAAAGTGAATGCTATCCGCTCACTGTCACCTATTTAGGAGAATCTGAAAGAATGCAAATCCTGCTGAACTGCAAAATCCAGTGTTCAATAGGCTTTTCATGATGGATTGCTATGGGTAATATATCTGTGTTCAGCAAAACCTGTATTTTAAAATTTATGATCAATTCAGCCACATGGCTTGGAATGAATAGAAAATTATCAGTTTGTAAAAGCAAGCTGTCAACATACAAAATGTTTTTGAACATTATAATTTAAACATCCTTCACTGAGAATTGCAGAAATTGCACCAGAATTGCAAAAATAATGTTTATTGTTTGGGCTAGCAAGTAAAAATATATGGACAGTTATTTAGATATTTAATTGCTTTAATTTAAAAGGTGTCCATGTAAAGGTTTCCCTTGTCCAGTCGTGTCTGACTCTAGGGGACAGTGCTGATCTCAATTTCTTAGCTGAAGGAGCCAGTGTTGTCCGTAGACACTTCCATGGACATGTGGTCAGCATGACTATACATTGAGGCACATGGAACACTGTTACCTTCCCACTTAAGTGGTACCTATTTATCTACTTGCATTTGCATGCTTTCAAGCTGCTAAGTAGGTTGGCAAGTAATGGGAGCTCATCCTGTCACGTGACCCTCAGGTCTTGAACCTGGGCTGTCAGCCTTCCAGCTGACAAGTTCAGTGTCTTTTACTGCTGAGCCATTGTGCCCCCTTCCAGGCAATGTACATGATGTAAACATAACAAAAGGGAGAATCATTATGTCATGATCACCATCACGATCATCATCTATGACCACTATTAATACTATTTAAATAGTACAGCCAATTATTAGGTTACTGAGCATGGTGCATATTCAACTTCCCAAAGCCTTCCAAACTAGCCAGTCTTTATTCACCTTTTAAAAACCATGAAAAAATGGTTGCCCTAGCCTTACGGACAAGTTGTGTGAAACAAGGTGACTACTACTGATCTCCCTCCATCATACCTTGATGGCTATTAAGGCCTATGTTGTGCTGGTAATGGTACTGAATGTCAATATTTTTCTGCCTGGCAGTCTAGTTTAGGATAACTCAGATCCTCCTGGGTGGGAATGATTTGGTGTTTCACCTATAGGATTGCAGTAAAGAATTTGCAAGGAATCCCTAATAAAGTTCATCAGAATCACATTATATTGGACTTTGGCTTGGTAGTAGGTCCTGTGGAAGGGTTAGTTATTTGGCTTAGGTATCTGGGCAGAGTTTGTTGCTATTGAATGTGTTGAAACAGACAGGGTTTTGACAGATGTAGCTCAGCTACCTTGGTGTTAGATCCATGTTGTTCCTGGTTGACTAAGGCTTCCCGGGGTGACATGTGGTTGAGTCTTGATGATGGTAATCTGTAATCCATCCCCTCTTTAGGAAGTTATCTTGGGACCAAAAGGTACTGAATAATTTTTTGTCCAGTTTCCAACTTTTCTTTTGGAGAAAGATTATGGAGAAAGTGGTTGTGCAATAGTTTCAAAGGATTCTAAATTATCTGGACTCTAACGATTCAGGTCCAGGTATTGGAGTAAGATACTAGTAGATAATAATGATCTCCGGTGAAGTGGGAATTGAGTACTGCATTTGCCCTTACTCTACCTGACTTCTCAGCCGTTTTTGATACCATTGATCATGGCATGTTTCTGGACTGGCTTTGAAGGTTCTGGATGGAACATACTGTGCTGCTTCTCTTCCTTCCTCCAGGGCCAGTGGGAGTTAATAGGAGATGATAGCTCAAGCCTGCAGCCCCTGCTATTTGGATGTCACAGGGCTTGGTGCTTCCTCTTCTCCTGTTTAATATCAATATGAAGCCACTGAGTAAGATCATCTATCCATTTGGGATGAGATGATGCAGATGATATCCAGTTACATATTTCCATGTCAGGCTGTCTGAGTGTTGCTATAGAGGTCCAGCTTCGATCTCTTGAGTCTATACTTTTCTATATGGGAACAGCATGCTTCAATTGAACCCTTGTAAGACAAAGTGGCTTTGACTTTTAGGACTCTCTTTAGTCTTTAGGACCTTCCATCTCTTGTTTTGGATGGGGTTGCATTGTCTCAGGCAGATCCTATGCTCAGTTTGGGGCCTCAGCTGCACTAATAACTCCTGTTCAAAGAGAAGGGTCTTTGAACAAGCTTCATGTTGTATGCAAATTGCACCCATTCCTGAACCAGGAAGCCCTGTTCATAGTCAGTCATGCCTTAATCACCTCCTAATTGGATTACTGCAATGTGCTTTTTGGGGCTGCCTTTGAAGAGTATTCAGAAGCTTCAGCTGGTGCAAAATGTAGTAGCATGGTAAGTTATGGGTGCTGGTTGCTTGGCACATGTGACATCTCTGCACTATAATCTTGTAGCTGCTAGTACAGTTCCAGGTACAATTCAAGGTGCTACCAGTTGCATTCAAAGACCATCATGGCTTGAGATTGGGTTACTTATGAGAATGTCATTTCCCAATGGTTTTTAACTGTTCCATTGTTTCTGGTGAGAGAGTATCAGAACCCATAAGGAAGGTTTTTTTCTGCCCTGTCACTCATTGTCATCATTGTTGTCATCATCATCATCCTCTCTCTGTCTCTCTCTCTCTCCCCCCTCTCCCCCCCTCTCTCACACACACACCAGATGAGATTTGTCCCAACTCTGCTACCTTTTCTCAAGACAGTAAAAAAGCTGTCTTTGCTCTTAAGTTTGAGGCCCTCATAATGTGAGAAAGTCTGCTTTTTTGGTTATACTGTGAAGTGTTACATTTGTTCTTAGCTGCTATTTGATGCTGTGTTATGTTATTTATGTTTTTAATTACTGGTTGTGTTTTTACTGCTTTTATTTTGTTTTCGTTTTTAGCTACTCAGTGTCATGTATATGAAGTAAATAAATAACAAATGGCAGGAAGAGATCTTCAGCAGACATTATTTGCTTCTGAATAACAGAGTTGGATGGGACCTTGGAGGTCTTTTGGTATGACCCCCTGCTCAAGCAGGAAACCCTATAACATTTCAGACAAAATCTCTTCTTAAAAACTACAGTTTCTGGAGGCAAGTCATTCTCTGGATTAGGCAAGCAGAAGCTTCCTTTGTGAGCCCACAATCCACAAAGGCTTTATTGGTAGTGGCTACCAGCTTAATTGCATTTGGTAACTCACAGGTAACTAATGCAAGTTTTTGTATCAGTAACAGAGAATCACTAGGACTGCACAGTTAGCCTGTAGACTGCTGCATTTTGGATCACATGGTTGTTTTTTTTCTGGATGATTTTCAACACAGCCTTATGTGGCCTTATGTGGAACAAATTGCAATAATTTATTTGTGAGTTAGCAGAGGCTTGAATGATTATACTCAGTGCCTCCTGATCCACATAGGGCTACAACTAGTACATCAACTGAAACTGCTCAAAGCTTCTACTTGTTCTTCCAGCAACAGCTATGAACCGAAGAAGATTCTCCCCCATCCCCAAGATATAGATATAGGCTTGTGTCTTTGGGGAGCATAACTTCATTAAAACTTAAATTTGATATAATTTTGAATCAGTAGACTTCTGAATTAGCATCCACTTTGTTAAAGGGTTTGGAATGCTTATTCAATGGCATGTCAAAAAAACCCACAACATCTAAAATGGAAGAAAAAAATGAATTACTGACCAAATACCTCATTTTCTGACAATGGCTCCTGGATGAACCTAAAGGAAAGTAAAATGATAATAATAATACTTGGGAAGGACTTGATAGGTGAATAAAAATGCCAAATCCAGTTTAAACATCTGGCTAACAATGCAATCAGCCATAATAACATTCACTTAATTATTCTGAAATTTAAAGAAGAATTTCACTATGCTATCTTGATATTACATTGTACAGTTTAAACACCATGACCTTTTGGATTAAATAAGCCGTACCTACAAAAATGCATATCCTAGAAAATTTGTAAAAGGACTGTATCATTTATCCTAAAGCTTTGGATGAGTAAATTATTTTTCTATTCCTGTATTATAAATTGACAAAAATGCCAAATAATTAGGAAGAAGCTAATTAATTTGAGTTCCACTTCATTCTTTATAAATAGTTGACTTATATTATGCAATGTATGCTGTGAGAAGAGTTCATTCACTTTAATACAAAAATAATTTCCGCTACATCATTTAGCAAAATAATATTATCTGATATGAGATACCTGCAGTAGAGTGGTTATAGTTTGCTGCTCAGTAGCTTAATATGCATTAAAGCATTTTTTTCCTGGACTGCAGATTAGTAATTGGATTGGAATATTGATACAAGGGTCTCAAAATTCGACAATAGCAAATATCTTCTCCCATTTGTCAACAATCCAAGTAATTATTTTAATGTCTATTCTGCACTGCCTATGCTGAATTTCTTACTGAACACACAGAGCATGGCTAGCTTCCAGCATCAGACTAAGATAGGCCAATCCTATGATTAGACAGAATGAGGCAGTACATGTTGAGCAGCACACATAGTTCTGCTGGATTGCAGAACTATGCATGCTACATTACTTTGGAATACACTGTCTATACTACTTGATGTTCTCATGTGTGGTGAAGGATGCAATCCTATTTACTGGGTTGAAGCAGAGGGCAAAAGTAGAAGTGAAGTACAGAACAGAAGGATGGAAGAGAGATTATTGCAGTGAAACTCTCCAACTTGGGGATAAATGGAATAGACTGTGTTGCTGGATTATTGGGAATGTATATGTTGCTTTGTGCTTTGGTAAATGCAACCCCTTAGGATCTGGGGGATAGGATGGGATCAGTGGTGAGATTCAGCCAGTTTGCACCAGTTCGGCAGAACCGGTAGCTAATTTTTTGTTGCCCAGGCCCAGAATGGACTTCCGGAAGCAGCATCCACACAGAGAACTGGTTGTTCACATATTTGAATCCCACCACTGGATGGGATGGATAATTGGAATTGTTACTACCAAGGATCCTGGTTTCGAACAAGCAATGCAGATTGAGATAGTGATGTGCAGAGACCAAAAAGGCAAGCTTATACTCTGAACTTTCAGTTCACTGTTATCATCTAAGGAGGCAGTTTATCAGGTAATCAGTTTCCCTGTGCTATGACTCCTATTATTTAATGTCAAGTTTGCTTGTTATCAAGTCCTGGATGAGAATTTAAGTCTGGCTTGCACCAATCAAGACCCATAAGAGTAAAAGGGAAGGGGATTCCTCATCAGGGTTTTAGATTTGGCATCAGGCAGCAGCTCCATAGGGGAAGTAGATTTTGTCTTCTTTTGGGAGACTGTGCATGTGACCAGAAGCAGTGTACTACAGATAATAGCGGATGTCAAGCTTTTCTACTGACATTGAATCAGAAATTCATAAATTATATCAGGTATTCATAGTTACCATGACAACCATTGGTTTATTTCAAAATCATCACGGCCCTGACTCATGTGGGTGGCCAAATGTTACACCTCACTTTTATCACAGAATGGAGTGATATGTTCTGAGACGGAAGGATATTAACATCTGTTTCTTATCATGGTCAGATCATTCTCTGACTGCTAAACATCTGACAGATTGTTTCACCTCAGATTATGCTGTCTACAAAGTAATTAGATACAAAAGAGAAGAGGATCATTTTTATATGTAATAAACAGAAAATAATATTTTAACATCTTACTATGAAGTACATTCATATTACGTCTGCTATTTAACTGCAATGTTTTTGAGTTTTCATTTAGTTATAGTGTTAATAACATAGGAAGCTGCTTTAATCTAAATCAAGCCATTGCTCTTTCTAACTCAATATAATGCTAAGATTTTAGGTACATGCTTTACCTCACTTTTGCTGGAGGAGTCACAGATGACATCTACAGTGGAACCTGCACACATGTGCCTTCAGGTTAGCCTTGACTGCTGGCAACTGCCTCTCTTGTGTTTAAGGCAGGCCTAGAACCCACAGTTTCTAGCTCAGTGTCTTTAACCACTCTATTAGATTAAGTCTTGTATACAACCGACAGCATGAAAAATAGATGCAATGCTATAAAACTTTCCTCTCAAGCTATGGATACAACTCTTCTACCCTGGGAATTTCTGGGAACTTCCTCACTATCTGAATAATTCCTCAAATGTGTTAAGATCCTTCCACTCCCCAGCTGAACTATATGCCCAAGCCAGGGTTTCTTCTTTTCACCCCCAATGGAAGGCCTAAAGCGCCTTCTGCTGTTCAGAATGAATCTATTTGTAACCATGTCGGAGATGAGATTTTAGTGGAAATAGATGGGACATATTTAAAAAATAGTATTACAAGCTTCAATACTTTCAGAACAGCATTTTAAGCAATTACTATTTGTTAAGACTTAACCACTTTGTCCAAACAAAGTCACTACTTAATAAAATAAAATGGCTTGACAGTTAATCTCAGTTCATTTTGAAAACTGATTTGTGTTTAGTTGAAAAGCATTGGGAAAACTTATCAGAAGATTATCAGTTTATTGATATCGTGGTAGAAGTTTGCTGAGAAATAGTTTATTATCACATACTCATCTGAAATTAAATGATAGGGTCTACTATGTGAACAACTAGTAGATAGCAGCATAAAGATACAAAAAGGTGTATGTCTTATGCCATGTGGTATTTAGCCAGGTTTTGCAGCCTAGACATGGTAGCCCTACTTAGGTAAATCAAAATCAGATTAATATTAACTATTTGAAACACTGTTTCAGCCCCTGCATTGAATTGTATAAAGTAATTGTAATAATTACGTCACTGCAGTACGTAATGCTGCCAAAACTATGAAAACAAATGTTTATAATTGCAAACAAAATGGTAGAAAGCTGACAGTGAGCTGAGCACTTATTTTAGTTTTCAAAATTCACTTGTCGAAATAATGTCTACACATTCCATAAAAAGAACAGAGGCTAAGTAAGTGAACAAGTTTAAGATACCAAATGGAACAATCCAGTGCAAATGATCTCCACTTACTTTCTTTCTTTTATTGCTGTGTTTTCAGCATTAGCACATTCCTTTGAGAAAAAGAGAAGGAAAAAAGGTTATTTTCAAGTTGTTTGAAGGAATAATAATTAAAATTTATTTAGAAAGTGCTTCTTTAACAGAATAATTTTTTGTTCCTAATATTTTTATTAATTTATAAAATATAAAATATAAAGAAAAATTAAAATAATGCAAAAGTAGGGAAGGAAATAGAGATCTACACAAAATTCAACAATAGTTGGAAGTATTTCAGAACACACATGTGAAAATATAGAATCTTTCATTAAAACAGCTGCCTGTTTTTTCAGGCTTCTGCAGAAGCCTGGAATAAAAAGATGCCGATGTTTTAAGAGTTATATTAATAATATGACTGATTTAATGTCCTAATCCATTAAAGCAACCTCATATTTTTTCAGCTTTGTAGCAAAGTGGAAGAGAGAGGAACAAGGGAGAGACAGCTTTAATAAATAGTAGAGGTTATGTACTTATATGAGCTCTGAAATCCTTTTTCCAAAATATTTTAAAAGCTGGCATAGCTCTATCCCTAACAGTACTCATAAAGAATACATTTAAGCAAATGTTTGGGCACAAAATCACAAAAGCATATAAAGAATGAATCAATGCTATATCTTACTTCCTGACAGATGAATAATCAGTTCTTTTGTCCTCCCCCCCCAACTTTTGTTCCTATTTCAATTTACTGTCAGTACTGAGCACATTTAATACTTACTAAGATTTATGAAAGTGTGTTCTTCTTTGGGGTGTATTTTCTGATTTTTTTTTAATCCACCAACTTGATTTTTTTTCCCCCTAAGCGTATTCATATTTAGTTCTCAGTGTCACCAATTTATTACCATCCTGTTGGCACTTGTCAAATGAGTTTGTGATTGGACAGGGTGATGAAAATACCTCCTGGTGTTTAACAGGTGGATTTTTATATTTACTGAAAAATCAAAGCATATAATACCAATTTTAAAATATAAATGTCAGCACTGTTTCACTTTTTTTAAAAAAAATCTATTGGTACTATATGTTTTCTTTTCAATTCTTTCATCACACTGAATATCTCAGCACAACTGGACCACATCCTTTAGGTACAATATGGCAGAATTAAGAAATTGTGATTCTACAGACCTTGCTATAATGCAACTTTCAAATATTTCACTATTGGACAAGTTTAGTAAGAAGCAGTGGTGGGATTCAGCCGGTTCGCAGAACCAGTAGCTAATTTTTTGTTGCCCAGGCCCAGAATGAACTTCCAGAAGCAACATCCACACAGAGAACTGGTTGTTCACATATTTGAATCCCACCACTGCCTGGAAGATATGTGCTCCCTTCATAAAAACAAAGACTGCTAGATCTGGATTGCAAAAGTCTAGACAGCCAGTAGAATGGTAATTAAAAAGTATAGAAAACTCTGACTCTTTTAAAGTCAATAACACTGGCATATTGAGAAAATACACTCCTATTAGAGTACAGGTTTATGTATTAAAGATACTTCCAGAATACTACTACCACTACTATTACTACTTGTGGCAGTTCATCCTGCTTTTCCCAAGCAGAATTTCTTTTAGCAGTTCAAGACTTTCACTAAATCTTCTCTCAGTAAGGGTACCTGAAAGTAATTTTCCTCTCTCTTGAGGCATCCAGTAAAAAGAATACCCTAGGTCAGGCATGTCAAACCCATGACGTCATGTGCGATGTATCACATTGTGCGATGTATCGCAACTTTTTCCCCATTGCCGGCAATAGGGTGGGTGCGGTTTTGGCAGTTTGACATGCCTGCCCTAGGTTATGAACAGTAATAATGTTATTACTTGCAATCAGATCCAATATTTACAATATTAATGGACAGCATTACATAGCTATCTTCAAGCCACAGTAAATACTCAATGAATGGAAAGAAATTCCTTACTCTTGAGAAGCTCACTTAGAGAAAGCATTTTTTCTTTCTCACATGTTCAACAGCTGAAAAGTCAGTATAGTTTTAAGACACAATAGATATTCCCATATTCCTCCTTTAAAACCATAGTTGTCTTGCAAATTTCTCATGGAGCATTTTGTCTCTATCATCATTCTGGCTATTCGATCCTTTTCAACTCCATCCTTGCTAGCCATTGTAAATTTCATATGTTCCTTTTTCTCTAGTCCTTAATCTTTCTTCTGCTAACATGTACTGGGCACTCTTTTACAGGTGAAATACAATATTCATCTCTACGTTAGCCAAGCTATAAAGGTCTTTGCCCGACACTCCTTATGAAGTTTCTCCCTTGCTTTAAGTCTTGTGTCTGAATATATGGTCACATCTGATATTTTGACTTGTTTAATGTCCCCCCCATGCCATGGTAACCTATTATTTCCCAATGAACTTCTCCCCCTTCTGCATATCATGGCCTGATTGAATGCTTTACATTCACAGCTATACTTTGCCCTATCTCAGAACAATTTCTCCCTCCTTTGGAAAGCTCCACAATTTTGATTTCTTAGCAGATTCTATACTATCTGCCACAAAGCTTCTCATTGCAACCCCCTGCAATATAAGATATGTGGTCACAGATGTAGCTTTGAATAGAAAATTGTATTCAATTAGGGTAAAATCCTTATAGTTCTTTAAAAAACCTTCTATTTTTTTTTAAAAAAAATACTATTAGTTTATCTTCCAAGTGATAATATTTAATTAGTTACTGATCAAAAGCAAAATGAGGTGAGAATATAAGAAATCTCAGTAAGTTTAGAGCTACTGATGAATGGTAGGCAGCAATATATACACAAGGCAGCAATAATTCCTCAAATTTATTCTGCTTGAAAATCTTTATGCAAGATAAGAAGCCATTCTCCTCATTAATCTGCATAGTACCCTGATTAGCCAAAATGTGGAACTTTTGGTTCAGAGTCTGATCTCCTATCTTTAAAACCATCTGATATCATATACCCTGTTAGGCAGATACTGCAGACCTTCAGCCAGACTCCCTGGTAGAAAGTGGATATAGCATCCAAATTAACTATAATTTTCCTCCTCTATTTTAGAGTATTAAGACATAGCTTGCCTGTTGATTATACAAATTTACCTAATGTTTATGCATATTCCTAAATATAATTTGCTTTTGATGTGGCTAGATATCATTGACTAACTAAATTTAAAAATTGGCATCAAGATCCTACTACATTTATTTAGTATTAACTTTCTGATCCAACTTAATCTCAAGTAAGTACATTAGAATTAATCTTGAAAATGATGACAGCAGGGTTGCTGCAGAAATCCCAGTCTTGGTTGCAAAGGATAAGGGAATGATAAAGAGGTCCAAGGATAAGGTATAGAAATTAAATTGAGATGCTAAAGAGTCTGAAGAGGAGCTGTTTGGAATATATATTTAATTTTCTAAACTGTGCTTACTTTATCAAAATAGAAGAATACTGGAATATAAGTGTCACCAGGACAAGATGTTTATGTTGGATAAAGGAGATATTTTGGATAGTACAAGTGAGAAAGAATTATAATAAGCACCAAAAACAAAAGTATGGCAGATTTGCTTACTTAAAGTATTTTTATTCCACTTTTAGCAAAACAAGTTCAAAGAACAGCTTTGAATACACACACACACACACACACACACACACACACACACGTGTGTGTGTGTGTGTGTGTGTGTATAAAGAGAGAGAGAGAGAGATCTGTAAGGATCTCTACCAATTATTCATTTGTTCTTTTTTTGTTATATGTAAAGATTTTAAAAAAGCGTGAAGCAAGAGGCTTGATTTATAAGGATTCTATTTTCGACTGATTTAGGAACCTAAGCATAAATTAAATAAAACATTGTTCATCTTTGTTTTTTAAACTAATTCAAGTAACAAGCTTGTCTTGTATAATTGCCATTTTATTTTTTCTTTTAATACTTTTGTTAAAATTGCTGTTTACCAAAGCAAATATGAAATGTTCATTCAGAAATCTGTGGCAAAACTAAATCTATTCTGGGCAGCCTATCTTGATATGATCTCTGATAACCCAAGCATGAGTTTATAGAAATTTAGAGAAGCTGTTGCTGTTGGAATATCCTGACCAGATTTTTCCATGGAGACAAGAAGAATCAGGAATGACTTTGATCACTGCCACTAATGCCTTGGTTATATCTTGATTGGACAATTGCACTTAGATAGCTTAGAAGGACTATGCATTAGAACACTTTATCTATGGGACTACCTTCTATTATCAGGTAATGCCCATATCAAGATGTCCTCCCTGGAGCCCAGGAAAAAGAAGCCAGGGAGAACGTCCTGACAGCCCATCCATTATAATTCAGAATAACTCAAAAGGACACTTTTTGAATTCTTTGACCAGGGATCACAAGTTCATACCTTTTCTATTACTTCTCCTTTCTTTTGGAAAAGTTTTTCACTTGAGGTCTAACAAAAACAATATTCTTATATCAATATTCTCCTTTTTTTAGCTGCAACATGGTCGTCTTTGTATTTTATAAGTCACTTATGAAAGAATGAAACCTTTCTGTCAATCTGCCTTGACCAAAGCACTTACTGGTGTATTAGCTCTGCTACTCATGCAAATATCTTCTTGTAATTCTTGATTTTCTTTAACTGGTTCATACAAACTGTCCATAGAACCCTCCTGAAAAGTAAATAAATCATGTGTGTCATACTTGTATCTATTTTTGTTTCTAATTTATTCATTGATTGATCATATCATCTAATTTTTAGTTCACAAGAATAGGATACAAAATAATTATAATATTATAAATTATTTGTAAAATTTCCAAGACAAGAAATATGGTACCAAATTATTTAAAGATCTTGAGGTGCTATTGATTGATTGATAAAATTAATATGGCCATCCAAAACAAACATTGCAGCAAATAAGAAAAACAATCAACAAATACTTCATAAGAAAAACAATAAAATATATTAAAACCAACTAAAAACAATACAATGGCAGCCATACTAAAATATATTTCAACTTAACCAGTTGAGACTCAAATTAACCTCACCCAAAGTCATGGAGAAAGAGCCAAGTCTTAAATGCATTTGTGAAGACCTATAAAAATCCCTCATATTTAATATTATTGAAGTCTGTTCAATAATATTAAAATATTTTACTTAAGTATTCATGGAGTGCTGTCACATCCCCAGACTCATCATAATACTAGGAAATGATACAGGTAAAATCAGTCAGATCAAAATGGAACTGAGTTGTGGAACAGAAAATTTAAAAAAGCAGCAAAGCAGCTTTTTAATGGATTCCAGTTAAAAGGGGAGAAGCCAACATGCAACAGACTGTTTGGAAAATAAAAAAAATTCAGGGAAAAAATACAAGGAGTACAAATACAAATATTGGAAGGGAATTATTGAATAGTCATGATTGTCAGAGAAGGAATAAAAGATTGTGAAAAAGGCTCATGCCAAGAACATTTGAAAAAAAATATAATGTATGGCTGTTTGTATGATCAAATTAGAAATCTTCAATCCAATATGGAAGATTATAGTACATAATTGTGAACAAGAACATAAGTATAATGGTTATAAGGAAAACTGGTGGGATGGGAAAAAGTCAGTGAATACAATCATGGGAAGGGAGAATTAGGAGGATGTTATTTTTTATGCCAAGGAGCTTATAAAATCTCATATATTACAAAACATTGTGATACCAGGATTTGCATGACAATAACTGGTCAGAAATGTAAATCTATAGATACGTTGATGACCATCTGAATGAAATATTGGGATTAGTGTCAAGAGGTTGAAATAAATCATGCAAATGAAAACCCTTTGTAACAATTGGATACTTTAATTGCCATAATAGCGGTCTAGTATATTCATGTTCTGGCCATAACAAAAAAGTTTGTTTATTTTTTAATATATATGTGGAATGTAAAAAGATTGGTTGTTATAAATTGGTTAGAATATAAATTAGTTGGTTTTGGAACAAACCAGAAAGGATATATTAGACATAATCCTAAGCAGTGACTAAGATCTGGTACAAAACATAAACATCATGGAGCCAACAAAAAACTATTATCATAATACTATTATACTTAGTTATATATCTGGAAATGAGGGAACACTGGCAAGTAAAGTAAAAAAATGGATACAGCTGTGTTGAATTCAATTTATATACTATAAATCTTATGAATTCTTGTAAAAAAATTTCTATGGCATTTTCAAGCTGCTTTGTAGCTTTCTTATAGAAGGAAAAAATACAATTTTGTATTGAGTTAATTAACCTGAGTTTCCATATAAATGCATATAGCCTTGCACTGCAATACATGTTAATGGGCTCTTATTTATTGGTTATATGGTTACGAGTAGGCATCACTAATTGTTACAGTGCTCCAGAATCAGTGGATTAATAACTGAATAGAAATTATTTGTTTAGAGATATGCACTTTGGTCACAGAAATGTGTACTACTTTACTACCTCATTAAAGAGAAATAATTCAAACACAGTGAAAAATGAGCAGATATTAAAATAATAACTAAGAACTGATTCAGAAGATAAATCAGTTTCATACTTGTGTCTTACTTTTAACTCAGTAAATCAGTTAAAAAGAATAAAATTTCAGTGAATCTCATAATAATTTGGATGCAATGCACAAACTCTAGCGCCTAATACTTAGCTTTGTGTAAACATGCATATAAAACATATAGATAATGGCAATGTGTATGTATGAGCATGTGTATATGCATAGATGCATAAATGCTATCTAAAATTATATTTTACTTATTTCAATAAGAAAATTAAATATGTGCTAAATGTTTAGCTGGAATTAGGACCTTTAAACTAGGATTCACATGTCCAAAAACATTTAAATGATCAGTATTATGAAACTGCTGAAATATATTTCACACTAAGAAGTGTTTATGTTGATTTAACTACATCCAAGAAATGACGCTTCACTATTTTACATCGAAGAAGCATATTAACCAGGAGGGACCAGGAGTCATGCCTTCTCTGCCATAGCCTCTCTCCCCTCTGGAACATTCTCCCTCCAGAAATTAGGATAGCCTTTTGGAAGATCTTGAAGATCTAACTATGGGCTCAAGCCTGGGATCCTGAGTATATGAAAAGCCCAGTTTACTGATTATGTTGATACCAATAAATTATAGTATCACTTGGCTGCTAATTGTATCTAGTTTTTATTTTTTATGTATTGTATTACTGCAAGTCATTGGTTTAAGACAGGTGACTATACAAATTGAATAAATGCTATCTATCATTTATCCAAGAAGGAAGATATTTCATTTTCTAGCTTTGTAAGAAACTCATTTACTTGGTTCATGTTGCTTTCCTCTTGGTATAGGTAAGGGTCTTTGGAATAGTTTGGTACTTATGCTATGTTGAAAGAAACCTTGACTTGCAAAAGTGAAAACTATTCTGAATAAGATTGAGCCTTCATTTGATACATTATGGCGACTAGATAGCAAATTGATTATCAGTCACCTGTTTCTTAAAACTCCCACATAACCAGAGTCAGTAAGCAAGACTAACAGCTTAAAATCAGATGTTCATTGTTTTATACAATTTTCATATGATACCATTTTAACAACAAAATTATGAATCACTACTGAAAGATGATATTTTCTAAGACAGTTTACAAAAATGACAAGTGCATTCCAAATTAAGCCTGCTGTACTGTATAATTGCCAGTGAATCAGCACATGGTCCTAGAAATATGCAGCAAGTATTTCTGATGATAAAATGTCAGTCTTGGATTACCAGAACAAGTGGAATTTATTTGTAAGTATTAACTTGCAGTTGGGTGTGCTCTACAATAGATAATGACCGAGGATAAAATATAATCCAAGTTGGGATTATATGTCCTATTAAACATACAGTATTTAAAAATTGGTAGTTAATTTATCTGAGCTAAATTCTAAATTATAACAAATGTCCCTATTTCATGAAATATGACAAATATTTTAATAAATATTATGAAGTTATATCAGAGGGAAAATGCAATAGATAAAGCCAGAAAAAATTTGCTTATATATCTTCTGGTTGATGTAAAATATATCGATACTTGTAGGGGACTAGCCCTCCTATTGCAATTAAATTTAATTTTTCTGTACTAAAATTAAAGTATATTCTGTACTTGTACAGAACTTCTAGCATTTTTTGTAATATTCTTTTATGGGAAATATCTTTTATTGGTTTGTTTCATGCACTCATAATTATAATTTATTAAGTTTAGATACTATTTTATTGTGTAAAAGAATTTGATGTCTTAAGATTTTATTATAAATCAATACATGGAAATAGAATATTTTCATGTACTGAACAAAATCAAAATATCATGACTGTTCTGTATTTATCTATAATAAATAAATAAATAATACAAGATATAAATATGATTTATCATAGAGAAATAAGAAAAACATTTTAAAAATAGATATTGCTACCAAAATACGGATCTGATCTGATCTTTAAGGCATATAAAAGACCACATGTAGATGGAACTGCTTTTTATACACATAATATCATTTTATAGATGCAATATAAATACCTAATCAACATTTTAAAAGTTTATGACATTGAGATTGAACTTTAGAAATGTTCTTTATCAAGCATGATAAAACTGTGTATTTCAATTTTTTCCCAACACATTTTATAAGGAATGAAATTACAACTTTAATTCATGCTAGAGAATAAATTAGTTCACATATTTATGAGCAAACAATATTTCTACCAAATATCTACCAATATTTCTATCAAATGAAAATTACTTTCAAAATTATCTCACAAAATATCTGCAAACCATATCATTGATTTATTTTTAAACAAGCCTTTTTCTTTGCTGCTTTGAAAACTTATTTTATTACACACATTACACATTGTCTTTCTAACATCTTTAATATCTCTCATCTGACTCAATCTTATGTTTTTAAACTCAGTACTGGAATCAGGAAGAAAAAGAAAAACTTACCAGTGAAAAGCAGAAAAAATTCATTTTGGAACAAGGACAAAGGTATTCAGTATTTAGAAATGTTATACTGTTTAAAAGAATCCTTGCCACACAATGTTGCTTCTTCTTGGTCCTCCCAGCTGTTCTCTCTAGAGATTAGAGCAGGATAAAATCCTTGCAATAATCCACTGGATTTCCAGACCATTATCAAATGAGATACAGGCTTGCCTGGCTCAACCCAAGCAGTTCCCTAAATTAATTGACAGTGTTTATAAACAAATCTAGACATGAAATAAAGGAAAAAATGATGCTGAAGCTTGAATTTTCATTGACTTAAAATGGATTTTATGGTTCAAAGATAGTGAATGACTTCATTTATATTTCTACAATTCCATTATCAAATATGTCTTTATTAAAACTTTTCAAAAGAGTTGGAATAACTTCCACCGTTCCTAGGCAACTTGACTAATGATGTCTGGAAACCTCTAGATTGGAACTGCAATACAGGTTAATATCACCTGGCTAAACTTCAGAAAGTAAGGTATGTAATGACTTATCCAGTTGCATACTCCTATGGATAAATTTGTGCCTTTTGAATTTAAACTATCATGTACTTTTCAGAAAAAAAGCATAGAAATAAAAAGTGAATGTAAATATTGCCTAGAGTAGAAAGTGCTATTTGTTCAGATTCAAGTGGGACAGGTATTTTATATCATAAATTTTAGTGAGTCTTTGCTCAGTGCTTCTGATGATAAAATTGTTATTAAGCTGCCTTACCATGGTTAGGCATGGTTAGACTGCTTATGATTAGATCACTTTTTCATAGTGACCAAAGATTCAAGAATCAAATTGAATAACAAAAGAGAAAGTGGGCAGGCCTGCCATGTACCATTAATTCTAGGATAGGATGTAAACAAGGTAAAATCATAAATCTATTTAAAAAAAGAGTTTGCAATAATGAAATAAGTACTAATGCATATTACTAACAGATACTAATTTTATATTTAGTAACAGGTTTTGAAGACATGACAATTTTGCTAGTGGGAAACCTGATATTTTCTGCCTACAATACTCTTCTAAGAACTAAAACTGATCATAGTATCTCTTGCATTTATGCACATCAATTTCTATAAATATTTGAGCTGTTAATGACAATAAAAGGTCAAAGGGTTTGGAGTACTCTGTTCCAGATTAGAAGCATGCAACTATTGGACTAGAATTACATGTTACTTTATAATCTGGAATAGGCTCATGAAAGGCTAGGCTACTATTGAGGTAGTATATTCCACCAAAGTTCTGAATGGAACAGTTTGAAAAAAACAGAAATGTACATTCTATTGTCTTTCTACAGAAAGCTGCTATTTCAACCTCCAAAATTTGCTGCTTATGGAAATTACCTCATTTGCTATAGAGATTTAATCTTGATCATACAATCAATTAAACCCTGACCTTGCTGAGCTTTTTTAACACCATGAAGACCTGATTGTGTGCCCAGGACTGGGACCCTGAGTGTGTAATGTCTATATTGGCTATATTGACATCTATGGAAACAGTTTTACTCAGAGAAACATACATATTTATTCCTGGGGTCTGTCCCTACTTCGATGACGTCCTCATTTCTGGGAAGTCATCTCAAAATTTAGCAGAAAGATTAAGGGCTGTCTTGCTTCGTTTTCGAAAAGCAGGCCTTAAACTAAAGAAGGATAAATGTAAGATAGAAGTCACTTCTATTGACTTCTTAGGATTCAGGATTGATGCTCAAGGCATTCACCCTGCTGAAACTAAATTGCAAGCTATCCAGCAGGCCCCAAGCCCTAAGTCTAAGAGTTAGTTGCAAGCCTTCTTGGGGCTATTAAATTTTTACCATGCATTTCTTCCACATAAAGCTGCAGTGGCAGAGCCATTACACAGGCTCTTAGACAAGCAGGCTCCTTGGCAGTGGACTAAAGTCCATGACAAGAGCTTCAATGAGGTTAAGGCCTTGCTCACTTCTATTGCTGTTTTAGCGCATTTCAATGAGCAACTGCCTGTTTGCATCGCATGCGATGCATCTCTTTATGGGGTGGGAGCTGTACTTAGCCATTTGAAGGCTGATGGGACACAGGTCCCTGTGGCCTATTACTCAAGGACTCTGTCTTCTGCAGAGCAGAATTATGCTCAAATTGACAGAGAAGCCTTGGCCATTGTGGCTGGCATTAAGAAATTTCATGATTTCTTATATGGCTGCCATTTCACGGTCTATACTGACCATAAGCCTCTGCTGGGTTTGTTTACCACTAACAAACAGACCCCACATATCATTTCTCCTCGTATGCTGAGAAGGTCCATTTTCCTGTCAGCATATGACTACACATTAGTTCACAAACCAGGAAAAGAAATGGGTCATGCAGATGGCCTGAGCAGATTACTCCTGAACCAATTAGAGCCAGATCCTGCTCCAGCCATTAATATTCTTTCCATTCAGGTGTTGCCTGAGTCTCCCCTCAATGCTAGGGACATGGCTGCAGAAACTGCCACTGATCACACACTTACACACGTGCTGACATGGATGTTGTCAGGATGGCCTGACAAGTGCCCAGATACTGAGTTCCAAAGCTTCTGGCACAAGAAGCATGAGTTTTCCATTTTCAAAGGTTGCCTGTTATGGAGTAGCAGGATAGTGATCCCAGCCTCATTGAGGTCTAGAATCTTGATATCTCTGCATGAGGGACATCCTGGTATTGTCAGGATGAAAGTGCTTGCTCGCAGCCATCTTTGGTGGCCTGGGCTCGATAAAGCCATTGAGGCCCAGGTGCACGGGTGCCAATTGTGCCAACCATGACAGCCTGAAATGCCTCAGGACCCAGTACATAAGTGGGAGGAAACTCAAACCCCATGGTCTAGGGTGCATATAGATTATGCTGGGCCCTTTCAGGGGCAATTCTTCCTGGTTGTTGTTGATAGCCATTCCAAGTGGCTAGAGGTTGTTCTGGTTTCCTCCACTACTACTGCCAGGACCATCCAGGTGTCGAGAGGAATTTTTGCATCACATGGTCTTCCAGATGTTCTGATTTCAGATAATGGCCCTCAATTTACCTCTTCTGAGTTCCAGGCTTTTCTTCAGGCCAACCTGATATGGCATGCAACATCGGCTCCCTTCCATCCATCCTCCAACGGATTGGCAGAGAGAATGGTGTGCACCACCAAAGATACTCTCAAGAAACTGACTTACGGTAACTGGCATCACAGGTTAGCTGATTTCCTTCTTGCACACCTCACCACACTATGCACAGCCACAGGGAAGAGCCCTGCTGAACTCCGCTGGGGTCACCGCCTCATCACTAAACTGGACAGGCTGCACCCTGACCAGGTGGCTTCACAGGTGTCACAGCCATGGGCACCTAGGAGTCTCCAGGTGGGCAATCCGGTTTGGGCAAGAAACTATGGACCTGGACATCTCTGGGTCACAGCTGTGGTCTACAAGGTCTTTGGGCCATTGTCATACGAAGTTGCCTTGGGGGACAGCTGCGTTCTTCGCAGACACATAGACCAACTGCGTTGGAGACTGGACTCTCACCCTTCTGCTCCTGGCTCTGCTCTGGGGGGGGAGGAGGACCATAATATGCATTCTGGGTCACAGTTTCCCAGGCCTAACAGGCCCTCACTAGCTGCTACTGAGGCTGTTTGGGATTCATCCCAAGGTTCCGCAAGTGCTCCAAACAGGAATTCACTGGATAGGGGGTCATCCAACACATCCATAATTACTCCAGACAGGGAGTCACACCGGGAGTATCCACAGTATTCACATTTGTCAAATAGTGCTCCAGACAGGGAGCCTGACTGGGGGTATCCACACAAATCACAAGCAGCAAGAGAAAAGGAAGGCCATCAGGGGTGCTTGCCTCATTCCGCAATTGCTCCTGAAAGGAAGTCACCAGCAAAGTTGGTTGCCATGGAGGCGACTCCTGACTGTGGCATCTCGGGCACGTGCTTGGGGGCCACAGAGTACTGGGGCACTTCCACTACCCAGCCCTCTCCATCTGCTGGCCTTGGATTCGAGGGACAGTGTTCCCAAGAGGTCCATTGTGGACTCGGGGACTTCCACCCCTCCAAGGTATGCTGGCTTGGACTTAGAGGGTCCAGCCAGCCAGCAGCTGGGAGGGTGAACCGGGTATTTGGGGCAGCAAAGTCCTAGCCTGCCTAGCCTGGTAGGTGAGCAGGTAGGCTAGGCACCCTCACCAGGGTCACCTGGGGATTTAGGGCAGCAACATCTTGGCCTGCCTAGCCTGATAGGCGAGCAGGTGGGCCAGGCAATCTCTCCGGGCCTTAGAAGGTCACAGTGGGCCAAGTGCCCACCCAAACATCTGAGAGACTTTGTGAGGTTGCTGTCAAATCATGAAGAACCTGCTCATGAGGCCCCTGAATAAGGGAAGTAACTTGTGAGTAGATTATTTTGCATTATTTTTGATTTCGGATACATTATTTGTATTAATAAATACTGAAGGGGGGTTGCCTGAGGGCAGACTCGAGATTCCACACTCTTTGCATTTGAATAATGCAACTGTATGCCACTCTTCCCATGCATGACGTACCTGTATGTACGTGAAGTATGTTCCATCTAGGGGGGAGGGGTGTTGTGTCCTGAGCCTGCAAAAGCTGGCTCGGGATGTTGCATTGGTCCCGGGCATTCCAAAAGCTGCCTGGGACCAGACAGAGCGGTGCCAGCCTTGTGCGCATGTGCAAGGCGCGAAAACACTCTGTTCCTATTGGTTGAAACTGTCCGGGCTTCTGGCCATATAAAAAGGCCTGCGTGCCTTTTGCTTTTGCTTGGTTGTTGTAGAAGGAGAATAAAGTGTTTGTTCAGCATTCGCCATGTGTCTTCATCATTCGCACGCGAACAAAGTACACAACAGTATGCCTCTCTAATTTGCTAGTTGACATGGGCAGCTGTAGAAAATAAATGGATAGACAGACAGACAGACAGACAGACAGATAGACAGATTCCACTTAGGAAGGAATGCAATGCATGTGAATGACATAGAAAAGTCCCTGCTTTTTGTCTTATTTATTGAAGTTCATATAGAAGGACATCTTCAGAATACCCTCACAAATTGTCATAATGGAAAAATTAATCTCTCATAAAACATTCATTTCTA